TCCTCCTTCTTCCTCCTTCTTCCTCCTTCTTCCTCCTGCTCTTCTTCCTCCTGCTCTTCCTCCTCCTGCTCTTCCTCCTCTTTCTCCCCTCCCTCCTCCTCCTCTTCTTTTCCTTCTCCTCCTTCTCTGTTTCCCCATCTCCTCCTCCTCTTTGCTGCCATTCACTTGCCCAAGTAGAATGGGCCCTTATTTGCCCTAAATGACTTTCTCCAACTTCCTCCTTTACAGATATGCTAGGACTATGACTCCCAGAATTCCAGCAGTGGTATTTTTGTTTACTTTAGATAGTGTTTTCCAGAAAGTTACACTATACACCGCTTGCTTCAGAGCTATGAATGCAGAAACATTTACCGTATTTTTCGGAGTATAAGATGCACTCTCCCACCCCACATCTAAAAGGGGGTAAAAAGTTTGGTGCGTCTTATACACCAAATGTAGCCCTGCCCACCCGCTGGCCCGCACCCTTCGGCCTCCGCGCACAACCAGTGAATCTGTTCCTAAAGTTCATTTCTGGGGAACAGCTGATTGGGGATATTCTGGGAGGCCGATCCACCCGCCAATCAGCTGCCCATGCTGAATCAGGCTAATGTGCTGAAGCTGCTTACTAGCTGTTTGCTAGCCAGATTAATACCGATGGATGCTGGTAGACAGAGGCAGAATTTTTTTTTTCTTATTTTCCTCCCCAAAAACTAAGGAGTGTCTTATACTCCGGAGCGTCTTATACTCCGAAAAATACAGTAATCGTTTTTCTTGAACCAATCACTTTTCATTTCTTTAACCACCTTTGGAGAGCTGATTCCTTCCTTTGAACTACTCTCGATAGATGTGTCCCAATGGAGTCGTTTGTGTTCGCTATTTTCTAAAGATCTTTTTATGTGTGTGTCTGTGTCTCTAGGCGTTGGAGTTTTTCCTTCCCAGGATCCAATCCAGCAAATGATGCCTCCATGGATTTACAACGATAATTTAATTCCAGGTAATAATTAATAAAATGACAAGGATGAATACTATATTCAAGCAGGAAATGTCATTTCTCATGTTGTTATGAGCCGCGGTGGCGCAGTGATTAGAGTGCAGTACTGCAGGCTACTTCTGCTGACTGCCAGCTGCCTGCAGTTGGCAGTTTAAATCTCACCAGGCTCAAGGTTGACTCAGCCTTCCATCCTTCCAAGGGGGATAAAATGAGGACCCAGATTGTTGGGGGCAAAATGCCGGCTCTGTAAACTGCTTCGAGGGAGCTATAAAAGCACTGTGAATTTGTATATAAGTGCTATTGCTATTATCAGCTCCTTGTTTTTTATACTATTGACAAAGTAGCGTGCTAAATTTTAATCAGGCAACAAATGTATTTTAATTTGGATCCTGTTGTCAAGGATGTTATTTCTATAAGGATTTTTTTTTTAAAAAGCCAAAGTGGTTAAGGTATCAAGGAACAAACCAGGAAACCGGGAGTTCCAGTCCTTTCTTAGGCTCAAAGCCAGCTGGGTGACCTTAGGCCAGTCACTTTCTCTCAACTCTAGGAAGATGACAATGGCAAAGTACTCCTGAAAAACCTTGCCAAGGAAACTGCAGGGACTTAGCCAGTTGGTTATAGGAGTTAAAACTGACTTGAAGCTGTGCGCCCGCACGCATACACACACAAAACACAATTGCAGCTAACCTTTCAGAAGCAGTTAGTGAAATTTAGTAAAAGGCAAATTCCACCCACTTTTAAGAGCCAAGGTGGCGCAGTGGTTAAATGCAGCACTGCAGGCTACTGCTAGATCAGCAGGTCAGCGGTTCAAATCTCACCAGCTCAGGGTTGACTCAGCCTTCCATCCTTCCGAGGTGGGTAAAATGAGGACCCAGATTGTTGGGGGCAATATGTTGACCCTGTTGACCCTGCAAACCAACAGGAAAGAGTTGAAAAACACACACCCAATCACATGACCCCA